GCCCTAAGAGTTTTTAAAGGATTGTGGCATTTGATTTTTGTTCGGCCTTCAGACGGCCCAAGTGCCCCCAAAGATCGCCCAAGACGGCCCCAAGCGGCCCCCAAGACGGCCCAAGAGGCCTCCAAAACGCTCAAGATGGCCTCCTAAGACGGCCCAAGAGCCCTCAAAGAAGTCCTCCAAGAAGGCCCGAAAGAGTCAAAATGACATCCAGACGGCCAAGATGACCTTCAAGATGCCCACGTGTTCCCCGAAGGCTTTCCAAACCGATTCGGGGAACACATGGTCCGATGGCTTGGCAGGTCTGGCCTCAACGTTCGGCCACATAGGCGCTTCCAAAAAGGCAGGGGGCGGCGGTGATTCGCCGTAGGCATCTTCGATAACGCCAACGTCTCAACATGCCCTGATGATTCCTATCCGCCCCCGCATGAAGTTCCCAGATGCGACAAGGCAGCGCCTCGACGCACCGACGCGACTCTGATATACCTATACGACCACCCTTCGGATGATAAGGAGGTTGCGGTGGGGGGAGAGGGGGGGAACCAACATCTGACTCGATCGATCTCACTATCGATCTCACTCAACGGGACACCACGGGACACCACGGGACACCACGGGACACTTGTCGATCTCACTATCGATCTCACTCAACGGGACACCACGGGACACCACGGGACACCACGGGACTCCGCGGGACACCACATCGATCTCACTATCGATCTCACGATCGATCTCACTATCGATCCCTCGGGATACCTGTCGATCTCACTATCTATCTCACTATCGATCTCACTATCGATCTCACTCAGCGGGACACCGCGGGACACCACGGGACACCTCGGGGCACCACATCGATCTCACTATCGGTCTCACGATCGATCTCACTCAACGGGACACCACGGGACACCACGGGACACCTGTCGATCGCACTGTCGATCTCACTATCGATCTCACTCAACGGGACACCACGGGACACCTCGGGGCACCACATCGATCTCAGTATCGATCTCACGATCGATCTCACCCAACGGGACACCACAGGACACCACGGGAGACCACGGGACACCGCCGGGACACCGCCGGGACACCGCCGGGACACCGCCGGGACACCGCGGGCCCAATCCCAACCACCGGCGGACGGGACACCACGGGACACCACGGGACACCGGCGGGACAGTCCCAGCCACCAGCGGACGGGCGGACGGACTTTCGCTCCTACTTCGGCCTGGCCACAGGAGGATCACGCGCAGCTTCGCCTCGCCCGCACGCACACGAACACAAAACCGAAACCGATTTCCCGGCGGGGGGTCTCCGTTTCACTGCGATCTAACCCCCCAACCTCCAATCCCATTATGATACAAAGGGGGCCGGCGGCAGGGGGCGAAGCCCTTACGGACAGTACTACTCGACGTCGCATTGTCGAAGAAACTATCCGTAGTCGTAGTAGTAGAAGTAGTAGTAGTAGTCGTAGTAGTAGTAGTAGTAGTAGTAGGAGTAGTAGGAGTAGTAGGAGTAGTAGGAGTAGTAGTAGTAAGGTAGCAGTAGTAGTAGTAATCGTAATAGTAACAAACGTAATAGCAGTCATAATGGTAGAAGTATTATTTGTAGTAGTAGTAGTAGTAGCAGTATTTCCGGTAGCAGTAGTAGCAGTACTAGTCGTAGTCGTAGTCGTAGTAGTGGTAGTAGTAGTAGTAGTAGTAGTAGTAGTAGAAGTAGTAGTAGTAGTAGTAGTAGTAGTAGTAGTAGTAGTAGTAGTAGTAATGGTAATAGTGGTGGTGGTGGTAGTGGTAGTGGTAGCGGTCGTGAGAATTGTAGTGCTAGTAGTAGTCGTAGTAATAGTAGTCGTAAAAATAGCCCGAGTCAAAAGAAGAGGTAAGCGTCGTTGTCTTACAAAGATACACATATTAGTAGTAGTATTAGTCGTAGTAGGAGTACTACAAGAAGTAGTAGTAGTAGTAGTAGTAGTAGTAGTAGTAGTAAGATTAATACCACTAGTTGTAGTAGTAGTAGTAGAAGTAATAGTAGCAATGATAATAACAGTACTAATTCTGGTAGTCGTAGTAGCCGTAGTAGTAGTAGTAGTAGTAGTTAAAAGTGAGTAGCAAGTAGTAGTAGTCGTAAGAGTAGTAGTAGTAGTAGTAGCAGTAGTAGCAGTTAGTAGTAGTAGTAGTAGTAGTCGTCGTAGTCGTAGAATCAAAACAGTAGTTAAAGTAGTAGCAGCCGTAGTAGTAGTAGTGGTCGTGGCCGTACTAGTAGTAGTAGGCGTAGCCGTAGTAGTCGTAGGCGTAGTCGTGGTAATAGTAGTAATTGCAACAGTAGTATTAGTAGTAGTAGTAGTAGTAGTAGTAGTAGTAGTAGTACAAGTTGACCTAGTCGTAGACGTACGTAGTCGTAGTAGTAGCCGTAGTCGTAGTCGTAGTAGTAGTAGTAGTAGTAGTAGTAGTAGTAGTAGTAGTAGTAGTAGTAGTGGTAGTAGTAGTAGTAGTAGTAGCAGCAGTTGTGGTAGAAGTAGTAGTAGTAGTAGTAGTAGTAGTAGTAGTAGTAGTAGTAGTAGTAGTGATAGTAGTAGTAGTAGTAGGAGTCCTATGAACAGTTGTAATATTTAATAATAGTAGTAATGTTAGTATTACTAGAAGCAGGCAGTAGCAGTAGTAGTAGTAGTAGTAGTGCGACTACTACTACTAGTCGCACTTCGCAGTAGTAGTAGTGGTACCCGTAGCATTATGAATCGTAGTAGCAGTAGTATCAGTAGTTGTAGTAGTAGCAGTAGTGGTCGCGGTGGTAGTAGTAGTAGTAGTCGTACTTGTAGTAGTCGTCGCCGTAGTAGTGGTAGTAGTAGTAGTAGTAGTAGTAGTAGTAGTAGTAGACGTAGTCGTAGACGTAGTCGTAGACGTAGGCGTAGACGTAGGCGTAGTCGTAGTCGTAGTCGCAGTAGTAGTAGTAGTAGAAGAAGTAGTAGTAGTAGTAGTAGTAGTAGTATAGTAGTAGTAATAGTAGTAGAAGAAGAAGAAGTAGTAGTCGTCGCAGTAGTAGTAGCAGTAGTAATACTGGTAGTAGTAGTAGTAGTAGTAGTAGTAGTAGTAGTAGTAGTAGTAGTCGTATGATCAAGTGTAGTCGTAATAGTCGTAGTAGTGGCACTAGAAGTAGTAGTCGTCGTCGTAGTCGTAATAGCAGCAGCAGTAGTACTAGTAGTAGTAGTAGTAACCGTAGTAGTAGTAGTAGTAGTAGTAATAGTCGTAGTAGAAGTAGTAGTCGTAGTCGTAGTAGTAGTAGTAGTAGTAGTAGTAGTAGTAGTAGTAGTGGTAGTAGTAGTAAGAGTAGTACTACTAGTAGTACTCGTAGTAGTAATAATAATAATCGCCGTCGTCGTAGTCGTAGTAGTAGTGCTAGTAGTAGTAGTAGTAGTAGTAGTAGTAGTAGTAGTAGTAGTAGTAGTAGCAGTATAGTAGTAGTAGTAGTAGTAGTAGTAGTAGTAGTAGTAGTGGTAGTAGTAGAAGTAGTAGTAGTAATAATAATACTAGTAGTAGTACTAATCGTACTAGTAGTAGTAGTAATAAGAAGATTTCCAGCACTAGCAGAATTAGTAGTAGTAGTAGCCTCCTCCTCCTCCTCCTCATTCTCTTCCTCCTCCTCCTCCTCTTCCACCTCCTCTTCGCCACTTGCGAGGGTTGCTGGAAACTCCAAAGGAATGCTGAGCATCGGCCAAATGCCAGGGTGCCCGGATGAAGCTTCCGGGTGCTGGATGCGTCATCGTGTCACGGGAAAGAGCAGGTCATTAATTTCCGGCCTAAAGTATTGTTGCATTCCTGGCCCGCGGCCCACCCGCGGCCCACCCACATTAATTTGACGAACATTTGCAGCCTGCGGGCTCGTGGTGCAATGTGTTGGAAACTCGGCGCTGGCCCCGGGTCTCTTCCGAGCCTCGCAAGCTGCCGACGACCCCGCCGCCCCCTCTCTTATCCACAACTGATCGGTGCTGCGCATTTTTGCGTGCAGTGAATCCGCCGACTGAAGTCGCCTCCCCCCTCTGGGATCCGTGGACACGTGAAAACACGTGCCGTGCCCCGCATGCACGCGCCAGACGCATGTTAGGTCCCCCCCCTTCGCGCACGCAGCTCCACATCAAAAAAATCCGCCGACTGGAAGTTGGGCCCTTCCCTGGGAGCCGCAGACGCGTAAAAACACGTGCCCCCCCGCGCGCACGGGGCAGGCACAGGTTGCCATCCCGCGAATCCGCCAACCAGAAATGGGGTCCCCCGCCGGGGGACGTGGACACCTGAAAACGCGTGCCCCGCGCGCACGCGCCAGACTCGTGTTGGATCCCCCCCTCATCACGTGTGTCTTTACTGAAGGGGCCGCAGGACACACAAATAAATACACACAAATAAAAAGATTCCCCATATTTTCCCATATTTTCTGGGGTTTTGTCTTCCCCCCCACTTCCCATAGTTTCCCATATTTTCGGGGGAATCGACGATTAATTGTGTCTGTGTGCTACTTTCCCTCCTGATTTACGCGCGTAGACTCCGACAGCCAGAAGATGGGTCCCCCCTTGGGGCGCGGACGCGTGAAAACGCGAGCCCCGCGCGCACGCGCCGGGCACAAGCTGCCTCCCCCCCCCTCACCACCACCACCCCGCACACGCGCTTGTACAGATCAAGCATCCGACGACTAGAGATTGGCTCCCACCTGGGGGTCGAGAACGCCTGCAAACGCGTGCCCCGCGCGCTCGCGCCAGGCACATGTTGGGTACCACCGTCCGCGCACGTTTTTTTTTCCGTGACAAGAATCCGGCGACTAGGAGTTGGGTCCCCCCTATGGGTCGCCCTTTGTGGCGAAAAACATGTGCAAGCATTTGCTGGATGCATGCGCTCTGAAACGCATGTTGGAGCCGCCCCCTCCGCACATGCATTTTCACATATCAAATTCCGGAGCCTGCTGATCGACACCCTGCTTGTACAGTGACAAAGGACCCGCCATCACAAAGAGAACCTGGAAGAATCCTTGTACATGTTGTGGGTGTCAGTGCGGCTCTCGTAGCGCAGCCACACGCCATAATTCTTCACCTCCGGCGCTCCAATGGGCACCGCAAGAGAGGGAGAGAAAGAGAGCAAATAACGAAGAACGAACAATATCATCACGATCCGCCAAGCATTCGAAGCACGGCTGCTGGTGCTCCTGCGGATCCTGTTGCACTTAGCATCTGCCTGTCCTCCTCTCGACGGGATGAATACGTCGCTACAGCATGATCGAATTGCATACCCTCATATCGACGCCATCGCGCACTACCCGACCAATCAGCAAAAACAATAGACAAATTGCGAATTGCAGACGCAGGACGTACAAATATAGTACGCCGTTGATGTCGGAAAACCACGCTGAAAAGGGCCACCCTACATATCGTACTATTATCGTTCCGCTTCTGCTCGCGCCTCCTCCAATGCATCGGGAGGCAATAGCCATCAAGCGGGGCCTTCGTGGGCCCACGATCGAACAGCTCGTTCACCGCCAGCAGCTCGCCTCCACTCTTCTTGGCCTTGTTCAGCTTCTTCATGAAGTACCAAAACCTGGCCGAATAGCGAACCAAAGGCCAAACTGTAGAACTTCTGGGAGAGCTAAATCGGAAATTTGCTCTTCAGGGGTAATTCGTGTGCTCACCAACCCTAAACGCTGGCGCCACAACCCTGAAGAGCGAAAAATAACCCGCAAATTTCGAGGTGGGAGCACAAACCTGCCTACGGCAGCCCCATTTACCCCAAGCGGCGACGAAACCTATTTCCGCCGCTCACCCCATGGCCGCGCCAGCGCCGGTCGCAGCCGCCAGCCCCTACTAGGCCCTATTCGGAATCATACGCGTGCGGCACGATCGAAAAGCACAATCGAGATGCAATGAAAAAGCCGTCAATATTAAAGGCACCACGGCCCAGTGTCGGACTCAGGTGTTAAGGCGACGGATAATTTGCGCATAACGTTGCACGCACATCGGGCGCGACACGATACAGGAAACTGCGATTTCCAGTGGGTGGCCTCACGCCGGGGCTCGCACCCGCAGCCCTCAAATTTACTACTGAGAATACGCCACCGTGCCATAGGCACTTGAGTATAAAGTTTGTTTTGGGACATGTTCTGAAATGTTCGGCACAGCTTGTTTTCAATACTTTAGGACGACATGTTTTTTCTTTGAACCAAAATAACCTGTGACGTACCCGACCCATGTGCATCAAGTGGGGAGAAGAATTGGCCCAAACCTGCCCGGGCAATGACTGTGCCAGCGCCGCTATGTTGCGCAAGCTACATGGAATGCGCTCACGCGGCACGATTCGCAGGACAACAGCAGAAGGACGAGAAGCGAGGGCCCAGTCTCGAGGAAGACATAGGGGCGGGAGATAAAGGCAGGGGAAAGACGCGCGGGGGGCCGATCCGTTAGCGCGGCAGCAGCAGAAGGAAGGTGGCAAGGGGCAAAAGGACGACGACGAAAGTGACGGAAGGAGACCGATGAGTGTTGCTGGTGTCGGGAGTACGCTAAAGATGAAGGCCTGCCTGCGCCACGTCGCCAGGGCGCTCGAACAAAAATATTGCACCTGCTTATGATTAGTGCAAGAAGCAAGCGAAGCTTAGCTCGCCCGCCAGCTTCTCTGCTTCCTTCCTGCGCTTTTTACATGCGGAAGCTAAGCGCTCGAAGGCGCGCCGCCAGGTCTGCGGGCGGCCCGCGGGCCAGGAAATCCAGGCCGGGATCGCGTATCATCAGGAGGTTGTCCACTGTCGTTGCCCTGGACAACATAACGACGCCGGCCGCGCTGCGCAGGCGCCGGCACGGCAACACGTGCCGGACCTCCTCCCTCCGCTCCTCCTCCTCCTCCTCCTTCTCCTCCTCTTCCTCCTCCTCCTTCACCTCGTCTTCACATCCCTCCCCCTCCGCCTCCCCCCCCGCCTCTGCCTTTCCTCCTCCGCCGCCTCTGGACTCCTCAAAATCTATCCCTGCACCCCTGCCAGATTCTCACGAACTCACGACCCCAGAACTCGAAACAACCCCCAGGTAACCGAAAAAAGCGCGACTCCGCTGGACCCCAGGGATGTCGAGGTCTCTAGGTTGTCCACGTAAGCCGTCACTCCGCTGGATCCCGCAGCAACCCTCGAAAGTGGCGACGGTTTCACAGATCGCAGCCCCTCAGGGATGGCGAAGTCTCATATGAATCTGGGTAAGAGGTCACTCCGCTGAGCCCTCCAGCAGCCCGCGAAAGTGGCGGCAATTTCGCAGATCGCAGCCCCCTAAGTATGGCGAGGTCTCCTGGTGGTCCGCGTAAGACGTCACTCCGCAGATCGCAACCCTCCAGGGATGGCGAGGTATTCTGGTGGTCTGGGTAAGAGGTCACTCCGCTGAGCCCCCAGCAGCCCTCTAAAGTGGCGACAGTTTCGCAGATCGCAGCCCCCCAAGTATGGCGAGGTCTCCTGGTGGTCCGCGCGAGACGTCACTCCACTGGACCCCGCAGCAGCCCTTGAAAG